ACGGTAATAAAATATAAATAATTGCTATCTCTCTTTCTCTCTCATCTACGCGATAAAATAATATAATGTATTTATCAAAAATTCTATATCAAATGAATAACGATCTCCACGATTGATATTTGAAATAAATTTAATAAAATACAATTGGAATCGAATCAAAAAGTTTGTTCGATGATTTTTAAATTATTTCTAGTCAACATTTTTGCGACAGATGTCGAATAAAATTATTATAAAATGAAAACAGCCAATACGAGTGTAATATAAAAAGGAACAAAATTTGGGATCTTAAAATTTTTCTGAAAAATAAAAAAAAGAAAGAAAGAGATATAATATATAAATAAACAATAATCGTTGAGCGTTGACTTAATTCAAAGTTCTTCTCGGTTGATCGCATAAATTAATTGTATGTACAACGCCGGGGTATGCACGACCATAACTCGATCACGATCTCCCCCTCGTACCCTTCCCTCCTACCTACCACCCATCTTTCTCTTTCTCATTTTGACTTTTTGTTTTGTTTCTTTTTTTCTTTCTTTCTTTCTTTCTCTTTCTCTCTTGTTCGAGTGAAGATCCATCGTCTGGAGGGAGAGCCTTCTTCGGAAGTAAGACGACCGGTTTTCTCAATGCGATGCGATCTTTGCCCGAGTCGAAGGCTACCGAAGCGAGGAAGTCAACCACCTACTACGGTGGGGTGCATTCTCAATCGCTTAAGGATCTAATTTGCGTTACCGATCTCTTCCGAGTTTAGATAACATCGGCAAAGAATCCTTCAACATTCCTAATCCGAGCACACACACAAACACATTTTACTTTCATCGCGTTTTAGCTAGTATACGTTTATAACGTTAAAACAAATTTGGCAACGATTTGTTTCCATTCTATACTTTTTAATTGTTACAAATCTAATTATATTTTTATTTTCTACCTTTGTAAATCTATATCTAATTAGATCAAATAGTAACATTTATTTTTTTAACGCGTACGCGGATAGCTAAAATTTTGTTTTCAAACTAATTGAAAATGTAGATAAATTAAGAAAAAACAAACAAACAGAGTACGATTGTGTAATTTGATTTCATATAATTAGGATGATAATTGTTGATAAATTTATAATTCGAGTTTGGAATAAATCATTTGCAAGAGACCTATCCTCATATCCCCATCCCGAAACCCCATGCATCCTGTTACAGATACACAATAATTGTAAGGTAAGTGTTAAAAAGAAAGGAATTCAAACGGGGAAAGGAAGTATGAGAGAACAAACTGAAAACCCTGAGAGGATCGTACTTCTTCTGTAGTCTAGTCCTTGGAATGCCGTCTCCTCCTCCTCCTCCTCCTCCTCCTCCTCCTCCTCACCAACTCGACTTCGACGGCAGTCCCTTCGATTGCAACGAAAACGAACGAAACGTCTACGAGAAAGAAAGAGACTGAGAAAGAGAAAGAAACATAAAGACTGTATGTGAGAAAGGTAGAAAGAAAGAAAGAGAGAGAGAGAGAGAGAGAGAGAAAGATCTCGAAAAGGAAGCCGATTAAACGAGAGAATAAGACCTTGAACACGGTCAGCCACTGTCCACTGTTCGCAGTCGCCATCTTGCAAATTTTATCATATCTACGAATGCTACTGAATAAACCTAAAACGATACCTTTAACCCTTTATATAATTTAAACTTCTTTATATTACTACAAAAAGATAAGTATGAAACTTTTAAACTAAATTAATATATTCATTTTTAAATATAATTGACACTTCGAATTAATAATTTGGTTAGTCGTTGTCAGCTGTTTCGCAGCCGCCATCTTGCAAATTTCGTTTCCCTGCTTATACGATAAAAATTCGCAAAGAAATGATTTTTTTTTACAAATTAATCGTTTAAATCTCATAGATCAAATTAATCAAACCGGGTTAGTCGATCGATTTAATAGTTTTAGTTATAGTTTGTTTAAATGTATGACGTAATTGGCGAGGTAAAAAGATCGTTCGTGAAATAAAATTTAGTTAGTTCAGGGAAACGAGATTAGCGATTAGAATTTGTTAGATTTTCTTTTTGTTAGAGGTCGAACACAACCCACACATCCCTATCCCGTCCCTCCCTTTCCTCTTCCACCACCTCCCCCGCAATCCCAACCTTTTTACGCTTATTACTTTCACTTCTATGATTTCCTTAGATACATATTTTATTGCAATGTTAAATATCGTATAAATGAATTCGATCATTTAAAAATAAAAAAATAAAAACCATGTATGATAACCTAATCAATTAATAGAATAGATTTTTAATTTCATGAATGATTAATTCAAAATAAAATAAAACAATTCGTTTATATATATATATATATAAATAAAAAAAAAAGTAAATAATATAAATTCTCGATTGATTAGTATTACATAAATAATTGAATGAAAAAATGATTTGAAATTAATTATTAGGAAAAGCTTCTAAATGTGCTCACCTAGAAAGTAGAACCGAAGAGACACTTTGATATTAACAGAACTCACTTCTGTTTTAAACACAGAAGCCGGAAAACAAACGGACCTGATTGCGCAGGCTTCACTTCGGAATTCTTCAATGACTCTTAATGGTTTCGTTCTCACACCCACACCTTCTGACACTACGTACATAATATATACTATACTTTTATGCCTCGAGATATCTATTACTTTTCAAATGTTATCTACTTAAACAAATATATGATTCGATCGTATTACAATATTGAGCAACGCGATTTCAACGAGTTATTCTAAATTATTTTTCATTCCGTCATTTTTTTTCTACATTTATTTATTTATTTATATGCAATAAAAAATCAAATTTAAAAAAGAAGGTCATGCCATTTAACGTGACATTTTAATATGTAAAAAAAAAAGTTATTTATTTATGCAAATGTGTGGAATGTTAATAATAAGAAGATCTTTGAAATTCACTTTTAGATTGATGCAATCGACGTTAAAGGTATATAATACGAATTTCCGGTGATTAGAATCCTATGTATATGCAACTAATGCGAATGACGACCTAAATTTATAAAAACGGACATTGGAGGTACCATTTCTTCTTCTTTTTTTTTTTTTGCAAAGTATAGTGTATGATGAGAACATATTCATCTTTCTTTTAAAAACGTATTATTCATATAACTAAAGAATTTCTTTCTCTCTTTCTCTCTCCCTCTTGCAATCTTTTTATCTACCACTTTGTAAATTTCATCTTATTGTTTTTTAAAAGAAAGAGTTAAAGTATTTGAAAATAACGAAACAATAAGCCGAGTCAATGAATGGTGGTTTCGTTTATAAGGCATTTCAAGGCTCAATATTCCAAGGTTCCCAATGAACCAAGGTTCATTCTTGTGTAATTGATATGTACGTGTGTGCGTTATTTTTTTTTTCTTTTGACAACAGACTTCGAAATTAAATACAATATACATATTTAAAGTATCCGCAAAAAAGAAAAAAAAAACAAATCCAATACAAATACAACAGTGTAGTGTAATGCAAATTTACTTTGCATTCATCAATTTGAAGGAATTTCAATATACATGAAGTTCTAATTCCTGAATTTCGAAAAGAAACTCAAAATGTTAATTTGAAATTATTGTTGTCCCTCGCGTTGTTTTTTTTACTCTTCGTTTCTTTTGTTAAATATTTCCTTTTCGGTCATTATTATTATTACGTAAAGAATTTACGAAACAATTTGAATTGAATTAAATTCGTGGAACAAATTAGTCATAGTTATTTAAAAATAATATATACCTCCGACGTTTCCCAACCCCTCCACCGAAAATACAACAAAACGAACGAATTAATAAATAAAAGAAACGGGGGGAAAAGGAAGGAAAGAAAGAAAGAAAGAAAGAACGATGAAAAGATGGAAAGATGGAAAATATTTGCAAGGAACGAGGACAGCCGGTATACACACCCACTCAACGCACTTTACAAAACGCAAAGGTTACATGATATATATATATATATATATAAAGAAAGAGAGAAAGAAAGAAAGAAAGAAAGAAATAGAGATAGAGAAAGAGTAAAAGGGAGAAAAAGAGTTTGGAATAAAGACAAAGGCGTGTTAAAGGGGCGCACCCTTCAACGTGGAAATTTTCTATGCAAGAGTACAACAACAACTCGAAGATAGATCGAGTAATGTTTCCTTTCGATCGTGCCTTCGTCATTCGTGGAGTTCTCCGCCCACGAGAAGAAGTCGCTCGAGTAACTATCATAAACTATCCTCTCTCACATTCACAAAAACACACACACAGTTTGTGAAACGTCTAATTCGCCAAACGATACGAAAAAAAAGAGAAAGATGATCGATAGTATTTGACTTTTTAAATAACGAGTTAACTTCTATTTTATATATTTATTTGTACGATTTCATTTTAAGTATAGTAATACCTAATTCATAAATTATAATAATCATATTTTCAATAGTAGAAAACCGGAAACGATGTTTCATAAGATTAAACAAATATGTATGTATTCAATTTATTCGTTATTCGATTTTTCAGAAGACATTTTACAAAAATATTTTTATTTAGAATCTAAATTTATTTTCACGTGATTTTTCTCTTTAATATTGTTCTACTGATTTGTATATCACAATGCATTTGTATTCAATTTATTTATAAATTGGTATATGAATTGTTAGATCCAACCATACCGAAAATTCGTGCCAATTTTGAGATCAATGCATGCAAATTTAAAATTTAAATGTATCGGTTTATTTTTAATCACATTATTATTATTATTATTCTTTTTCTTGATTTATTATTATTAATAATAATAATCTGGATTAGTTCGTAATAAAGATAAAATATCCATTAAATCAAATCTAATCTATAAAGATTTGTAATGTTCGATCGAATCGAATTTTCTAATCTATTTTATTTTCGTCACGTTGACATCGATATTTAATAAAACAAGTGACCTTTATAATCGTTAAAACACACGACCGAGATTATAGCAGATAGATAGTTATACTTAGAAAATGATTAGAATTCTTACTTACCGTTTTCGAGGTCAACCATCTTGATCTCGTTCGATTTCCTTGTGTCCTTGTTCTCTTTATCCTCTTCATCTATTTTTTTCTCTCTGAACAAATAAGAAAAAATAATTATTACATGTACTCGCGTATACAAAAAGAAAAAGAATAGAAATAAACTATGAGACATGAAAAAAAGAAAAGCTAATTATTTTATAAATAAATATATATCGTATGAAATTGTTAAGTGTAATTATTTTTTACGATTACTTTATATTTCATTATTTTAATATTAAAATAATTAAGAACGATTTCGTAATAATTTGAGGACCATTATAATTTGGATCATTATTTTCCTTCTGTTTTTTTTTTTTGTGTAAATTTAATAATTTTTTAGACTACGTTTATGGGATAGAACCGAATTGGATGTAGGTAATAAAACGTGAAAGCATTTTTCGATAGTGAATCCGTATGTTATGTCTGTTTTTATGCAATCTAAGTAGCCTAAAAACACTTTCCACATAAACCGCAACTTGTCCTTTAAAAGCAACAAGCTTTTACGTTCGTGGCGAACGTTAATAAGATCTATCACGAGGCTTGTTGAACCATTCCCTGATTTTCTATGTTTTCTATTTTATTGAAAATTCAACCATTTTTATCCTATTTTCAAACCAAATATGACGACATTAGAAAATGGATTAGAAAAAAGAATTTCGTGTAATCACTAGTTTCTCAAATTATTTATTTGCCTACGTTGCTTTCACTATGTTCTAACCATTTCGTTTTTGTTTAAAAATACAATTTTTGGAAATAATTTATCTGATAGATGATCAACGTGTTGATTAGATTTTGCATTTATTCTAATTGTCTGTTTACGTTGCATTAATTTTCCTTGCTTTTTTTTTATATTTATTCCTGCATTTTTCATAAGTTTAACGTCGTTAGAAATAGCTGATTAGTCATAGATCAAATGCATGAGTCAGACGTGTTGATTCGATCGCATATTTTATGAGCAATCATTATAAATTTTACTCGCGTTTTCTTTCTATTAATAAACATAATATTGAAACGTTCATTCTAATGGTTAGGATTAGAAATTAATAATGTAGTCATTCGATAAAATCACTGGTGTGATTTTCAAAATAAAAAGAATCAAAATATATAATCCCATAATCAGTAAAATACAATAATGAAACAAAAATGGGGGGATACGAAATCGTTCGTTATCTAAATCAAAACCTAATTTCCAAAATAATAATTCTTAAAATAATTTCAAAAGAAATATTATCTTAATCCTATCTATACAATATAATATTTAAGATAAATGACAATATAAGAATAAGACAAAACCACTTACACAGAAACATATTCCAAAGAATTAGTTTCCTCTTCCTCACCGATTGTAGCAAGATTAGATTGCCAATAGTAATCACCATCGTCGCTATCATCAGTACTATCATCATCATCATCATCATCATCATCATCATCATTGTCATTATGATGAACAACAACAGCATTGTCAACATTCTGAAGGATTTCTCTATCATTATCATCGGATAGAATACGATTGACATTAGTATTTCTGAGATCATCGTTGACTTCATCCAAAGATTTATAAGTTTCGTCGTCTTCGCTTTCACGGTAAGTTGAATTCTCGCTTAGTATGGTGTCACTTCTTTTCAACGAAATGGCATCTTTGTAGGAAGAGGAAGAATCATCCTCGTCGTTGTCGTTTTCATCGTCATCCTCATTCAATTTGATTTCATTCGAATCAACAACGACAGAAGTTACAACATCAGAATCATTTAAACGATCATTATCATCGATGATCTTGATAACGGGTTCTTGAATTTGAACAATTTCCTTTTTGGGAGACAATGCTTTAGCTTTTCTAAGCTCAATTATTTCTAATACTTTATTGGTACCTTGATGATGAGGATCAAACTCGTCCAAGTTCATTTGATCGGATTCGAAAGAAGAGGATTCGACAGATTCCTCTAGGATTTGTTGTTTGGGTTCGGAAATAGTCGGGCAAACGAGTTCCCTTCTTGGTACTGTTGGTGGTTGTGCTGGTGGCGGTGGTGGAGGAGGTGGTGGTCTTTTTCTTCTAGCTTTGACATCTTTCCGCGGTAATGGTTTAGGTGGCAAGAGAGGTAAATCGGGCCTATCTTTAATTTCATGGTTTTCAGTAGAAGCCTCGTTATTGGCTTGTCTTTGTTGTTGCTGCTGCTGCTGCTGCTGCTGTTGTTGGTTAACGTTGATCCTGTTGACGTGATTTCTTGCTGGTAAAGGTGGTGGTGTCTTATCCCGTGGTGCTGGACGTGGAATAGGTTCTTCCCGTTCTTCCTCATCTCGATCATCGTTGACAACTCGTTCGACCAGTTCAGCGTCGTCCTTGATTGGTCGGAAATGTGTCGTAGAGTCGGCTGCTAAATCAGCCGCGTAGAACAGATCTGGTCTCGGCTCGTGACCGTAACTTAATGGTGCATCCTGGAAACTCAATGGTGGTTGCAGTGCTATGGTTTCTTCGATTAATACGGTATTAGGTGCCACAACAGCTGTTATCCTTTCAACTTCCCCACGCGATTCCACGTGAGTTACCGCCTCCGAACTAGCCAATCGATGTAGCAAGTAATTGGGTGGATGACTCGAAGACAATTCACGTTCCAATTGTTCGAACGAGTTTATCATTTGTTGGTGGTGTTGTTGATTATTATTATTATGTTGTTCGGATCCTGTTGAACCCGTCGACGTTGTTGAGATCGTTGATACTCGATCGGAACTCGAGAATCTGTCGACTACAGTTGACAATGAACTTCCTGTATCATCCGACGTGCTACCCTGTGTCGAACCACATTGCGATCTAGCATCCAAGTACACCATTGCTTCTGGTGGTTCCTACAAAATATTATTTTCATCATAAATGTGCTTATTTTTTAATGTTAATTTATAGAAATGTACGAGAATTGGATGGTGTTAAATCGATACCTGTTTAGGTTTAACCGTATCCGGCGATGAACGATGTTTCGATGTTGAATCTTTTGGCGAACCTTTCGGTGATTCCTTAGGACTCACATTGACATTTTTCATTTCATTAAGGACGACTCCCCCATTTAATGATTTCTTAATTGGACTCGGATTAGCTTCCCCGTCGGCCGAACCACGGGTTTGTCTTAATTTTCTTGGTGGTACTGGCGGTGGTAAAGGAGGTGGTGGTAAAGACGGTAATTCCGGTGGTATCTTGTTCTTCCTCTCACTGGCAGCAGCCGCAGCAGCTGCTGCTGCCGCTGCCGCCTTTCTCTCGGCACTAACTACTTCCGGTCTGAGTGCACCTCGACATCTAACCATCAACCTGATCACCAATTGGGATTCCTTCAACCTCCGCACGCAATCCAAGCGAGTCATGTGTGTCACTGGTACACCGTCGATGGACAATACCTGCAAACGAATACGAAACATTTGTTGAAATATTATTTTTAATTCCAATTGCAAACAATCGACGATTAATCCTTCGAAATGATTAACAAGTGATCTACAGATCATTTCGATATCAAACGTTTGAAAATATTTGTAATTTTTACCTCGTCACCCTCTCCCAATGAACCCCAAGAACACTTGGCCCTACTGGCAGGGCTCTGTTCGGCACAACTTTGTACAAACAATCTTCTAACGCGTTCCGACGTCTTATTACCACCCTCGAATTTCAATCCGAAGCCAAGTCTTTCACCAGGAAGCCTGTATACTTCAACTTCTTCTTCGAGATGTGCTTCAACCACCCCATTAACCAATTTTGTTGTTGTTGCTGTAGTTGGCGTTGAAGACGGGGCTGTAGTTTGTTGTGTATTAGGTGTCGAAGATGAGGGTTTTGACGATGGAGGTGTCGTAGGAATATCATCATCCTTTTTAACAGTACCAATCGAAAGTACCGTAACAAAGTTTTCATTGGTTGCTTGATTACCAACCGTAACCACCGTCACAAAATCCTCTTTAACAGAACTCTTGCCAACTTCCATTCTTTCTTTGATTGACCTTAATATCTTCCATTCGTTATTACCATAATTATCATTATCATTATCATTATCATCAATCGTACGATGATCCTTGTGATCCGGAATGCTGGCCACTCCCTGAAATACAAATGAAGTATATATTCTAAAGTGTTAAACTACATTTTTACAAGTACGTGACACAGGTAAACGTCTTACGGGTTTGTCATAAAAATTCTTTCGTTGTATTGAATTAACATAAATTGTGATCGAAATAAATTAGTTTACGATGATCAATTTGGGTTTAGGTAAGTAGGTATTACATGGTTGGGTCAGTAACATAGTTTCGTTTATTACGAATATGAGTTTTTTTTTATTTCTTAAGTTTGGGACACTCTGTATATGTAAAACGTAGGTATTATACTAATCGGAAGTAAAGAAAACGTGGGACTGACTGTTTTACAACGTAATAATTACGACGGCATCGCGTGCTATGTAAATCCACTATCGTAAATACGAGTTACGATTTCTTAAGTACTTTAACTTAACCATAGAAGATCGTTCGTTAACTTTCGATCATGATTGTGTATTCGTGATCGTGATCGTGATCGCGATTCGATCGGGGAAGGAAATTTTCTCATCATCCTGTGTTTCGAGAATACATTTCGATTCCTTCTTTTGATATTCTTTCCTTTTGTTTTCTTTTTTAGGTTAATTATGCAAGGTGCAATGTTGATTTGGAAATTTAGAAAGTTGATTAGTTGCGCGAATTCATTTTTAATAATAATATTTTTATAATAATGTTTTGCGAAAACGCGTGATTTTTATTATTATTTCTATTTTATTTTGCGAATTTGTAATTAAAACAAAAGGAATGCTATTAATAACGTAATATAAATCCTTTCAAACATCCCGATCACCTTATATAAATATTTCGTAAATGAATAAAACAACGAAGTCACACACTTCCCTCGTTTACATCATTTACATAATAAACAATGAAACTCTATGATCTAGTTTTACACCTGTTCCTTCCTAGTACATTTATTCTCCTCCCTTTCTGATTCTAATCTACACCTCGCTTGCACTTTCCTCGCGTCTAAGCATTCTACATAAAATTACTTCGTTAATAACTTTATTTCCTAAAAAGTACAAATTGTAAATATTTGCAATGACGGATACGATTGATGTTATTAAAAAAAGAAAATAATATGTGCATTTCTATTGCATAATTATATAATGTTAACAAATATGGAATCGACATTCAATTAAATTTTGATTGATAATCGAATCGGTACAACGTTATTTCAAACTTTCATGTTTTCACTCTAATCAAAAGAAACTTCTTTAAAGATTTATCGAATATTTTACGGTATAAACAATGTACATATAAGAAATAAGATGTTCTCATGTGAAAGTATGTTTAGTTTCGAATTTAAAGTCACCAATGGGAGAAGGAATATCACCTATGATCTGAGAAGAAAATGTGAGAAGTAGAAAGTATGGATTGACCCAGGGTCAATCTTCTTGTCTCGTGCAGCTGCAATCAGCTGATGATGATCATTCCTTTTTTCACGGTCATATACGTTTAGGTGAATCTTTCGTTGATGCTTAGAACATATTTTCACCTGAGAAATTTTCCAATTGAAACATTTTGCCAACACTTTCTTATATGCATGCTAATATATATATATATATAAATATATACAGGGTATTCGAAAATATCTAGAATAAATTTAATACCTAACGGGTGTTAGTTCAATTAAATGGATCGTGATAGTTCGAAAATGTTTTTGAAGTTGGAATACTCGTTTAGTAGAATGCATTCTAATTACATTTATTGCAATTTCTATGAGTACTGGAATGTTAACAAGGATACCTAAAACATTTTCAATATCTATTATAATTATTTAACAAAATAAATGAAATATATCTGAGTATATGTGTGTGGGAATTTTTGTGACATTGACTTTCTTACTTTAATCTCACGGTATCATTTAAGTTCATGATACTCATTGGTTTATCATTGGTTGTGCTCAACGACAACCATTCATTTTCTGTTACTGTGTACTTATAACTGTGTGAAAGAATAAGGAAAAGTTTCTTCTCTTTTGGAAAGTTGAAGAAATTTCATTAAATTGTATATAAGATCGATAAAACTGGTTTGTATTTATTAAACAATATCATATCATTATCTTTTTCTAACAGTCAAATTTTATTCACAATTGCATACGCGTGTAAATTATGCACGTGTATGAATGTGTGCCTCTCTCTCTGTTAGAAAAATGTTGAATAATGTTTAATGCTTAAGAAAATAGAAAGAGATGGCAGCTGGTAGTCTTATATAAAAAAAAATTCGACAGAATTCTCCCCGAGTATGCGAAAAGAGAGAAAGAGAGAAAGAGAGAGAGAAGGAAGAGCCGTACAAGTGCGCCTAACGGAATTCGTAGCCCGAGGGCCGAATGCAGCGCATTTCTCGTTTCTCTTAACTTCTATACCTCTCTCATGTACATACACACACACTCATACTATCTCTGTCTTCTTTTTTTTACCTTCTTTCGGTATCGAAGCAAGACTGAAAATATTGCGAAAGAAAATATCCGATCGGTGGTGCACTAGATTTATCCGATTTTACACGCCTAATCCAAAAAAACCTAAAGTTTCACTTTATTCGTTAGATATTAGATTATACTGAAAAATTCAATATTGTTCGTATGTAATAATTTTGCATATATGGAATGCATCTTGAATTATTAAATGTTATTGTTTTTGGTAACATAAGTTTTAGATAAAGAATAATGTTTATTTAAAGAAACTTCTATAAATTTATTAGATTTTTTATATTGTTATATAATAATTGTTTTATTTCAAATATATTCCTATATTGAAATATGAATTTTATAAAATGATTATAGGTTTATTTGGAACATAAGTTTAGAAAAGGTGTAAATTTGTATTAATTAACGGGGAAAGCTTTCTAAATATATTTCCTACGAAGTGGCGGAATTTTTACAAGCCCGTACGAGACGTTTACATTGGGTCTCTTCAATTTAATGCCTCCTCTTATAATCTCAGGTTCCCATAAAAATAATCGTTTAATTTTTAATTCACATATCTTTTTCTCAAACCTTTTTTTATACTTCTTCCGAGATAAAAATTATAATTCAATATCACAAACACAGTTGATTATTTAAAGATAAACTTTAGAATATGTTTGCACCTGGGCCCTTTAACGTGCACAATCCGTCACTGTTCCCAACCATAAGCGAACGTTAACACAATGCGTTCGTTGGTTTATGCAACGAATGCTCTCCGACACGGTCTGTAGCTTTTGGAGGCGTATTTCATTCATTATTTCAATTCTACGACGAGTATTAACTCGTCCTCGATTACTTTGCATGAAATTCCTACTTTTATATCACATCCTACATATCTAACGATAATAATAAATGCACATTTTTATTTAACAATTATTATATTTCCAAATTATTCATATTTTAAATAAGACACTTATGAAATGAATTTCTTCATTATTTTTATTATAATAATAATCATCATTATTTTTTCGACAATCAATTAATTTTCTACCATACTGATATTTCATAATTTCTAATTGTAATATTAGATTGTTATTTTACTTTTAATGAATGTAAAAATAAGATACGTGATTAATTGAAGTTTAACTTTGTATTTACCCCATGTGGGTGATTTGTGCACAAAATAACTATATTGTTTTATATTTAATTGTAATATTATATAATAATATGAAAATATTGGAATAATAAACAGCAAATTCCCGTTACTCGTGTCTATCGAATTAACCATCGAACGAACGAACGAACAAATAAACGTATAGTTTAAAGTTTTTTTAACATAAGTGTTGATAGATGAAGAGAGTAAAGTTAACAAGTATAGTGGTCAACTTCCTCGATCTTCCTGAAGGTTGTTCCTGGACGTTAATCGGCAAACATAGCCCGTAACCGGTGTTCATAACGATCTCTTTCTTTCTCTTTCTTTCTTTTTTTCTCTTCTAACGGTGGCTTCCTACTCAACTCGATATAGGTATATGTGTACATATATATGTATGTATGTATATAGATAGGATAAATTACATAGATGGGTTCCTTGGTTCTCTCGGCTCGACGACTTTCACGCGATCGAGAATAATTATCCATGCGGGAGGTCAAAATACCTTTAGTATTTACTTTTAACCAAACTCGAATATATTTTATAAAAAGATATGAAACAGAAAGAAGAAGAAGAAGAAGAAGAAAAGCATAAAATCTAATGTAATTTAACGTTATTAATTATATTACGAAATATTATTTATTCTGGTTTGGTTTTTGTTTTGTGTTAAATGAAAATAATTCTTTTTTCTTTTAGTTTCCATATAACGTTATACGGGAAACGTATTTTTATATATATATATATTTATACGTAAAAAATGATTAAGAAACTTATTTTATTTTTCATACGCGAATTCGTTAGAGAAATTTAATCGATTAGTTTTTATATTTCAACTTTTTGTAATTCGTAATGGCATTCAATACTAACAGGATCGTTTAGATTCCTATTGGAAGACTGGTTTTCATTCGGTGATTTCCTATTCATACGTAAACGCGTATAAAATACCGTATATAGTGAACAAAATCTAAACGAAAGTATACGTGTGTGTTGGTTAACGGTAGTGTAACTATCCTAATGTTAATGCTAATTTTTTTTTCATCCTAATTTCTTCAAAATAAGTTTTTAATACTTATCTTATTCGTGTCAAAAGAAAATGATTGTCTTTCATATTAACAAAATTATTGAAATTAATTGTATAAAATGATCCCAATCCAATTGTTTTCACATATAATCAAACTATCCTGAAGTTGTATATATTTCAATATGAAAATATATTACAATTTATTGTATCACGTGGGGTGATCTATGATCAAACTTATTATATTGTTTTATTATTAATTTTAATATTGTAAAATAATATAAATAAATAAAAAATAAGAGAATAGAAAATGATTGAACAAATAATATCAATCAAATATTTGACAATAAATAGATCTTCATGATATTGGAATCGATCATTCTACAGATTGAATTCATTTATTTTATTAATATTGTAAAAAAACGTATATCAAACAATTCTCAATGGATTGAAAAAAAGTTTCAAAGAAGCCATAGGTCGAACCTTCTAACATCATTCCTTAAGAGGATTAAACTCTACGTAGGATCTATTAATGCGTAATGGCAGATACCAACTGTAAGAACTCACGTGTCAAATCTTTCTATATAAACACATACATACACGTGTGCATAAACACATACACATATCGTTTGAATAGTTTTAGAATTGTTTAGAGAAAAATGAATCGATGATTTCGATAATTTATATCGTTGATTTTAATTAAAAAAACAAAAAAAAGAATAATAATTTGTTTAATAATTTCTTGAGGTAAGCAAGAACAACTTCTCCAGATTTTACGATCAAGAGAAGTCACACGCATGTATATTTGTGTGCGTGTATGTGTATATAGAAATACTCGATGCCTCCCATGGACCAAGACCTTTCACTTTCCAAGTATAATCCTTCGAATAACTCGAAAATATCTTTCCTCGACGAAGGACGATGAAAGAAGAACGTATTGGAAAGTTTAGACACTTTCGACAAAGTTTTTACCTCGTGGGAAAGAAGAAAATAAACAAGAAAAACAAATCTAAAACGAAAAGAGAGTGTTACAATGATTGGTAGATCTGATCTGTTCGATTAGAATCTATAATATTTTCAAGTTGAAATTATTTTTAAATTTGGATTAATAAATGAAAAAGATAAATGATTTCTATGATTGTTAATTAAAAACAGTGTATTTGTGCGCGAGTAAGTGAATGTATGAGAAGAATTGTTTTTGATAAATATTCCGAAAAAAAATTTTATTAAAACACTCGCGATAATTAGAGATTAATAACTTTGATAAATGTTTCTTTATGTTAATTAAAATTTAGATATGAATTTATAATACGTAAAAGTAAATTGCGTATAATAATTTGTTTGATTTTTATGCAAATTGTGAATGTTTAATGAACTAGGATGATTTTCTAAAAATATGAATACATATTCTGAGTGAATTAAATATTCTGAGAAGTAATTAGAAAAGAAAAGGTAATTTATAAAATAAAAACAAAGAGAGTAAAAGAGAAAGAGAGAGAGAGTAGTGATTGATAGTAGATCGATTACATTAATAGATCTTATTTCAATCATTAGAATATAAATTAGGATTTACAGTACATAAAATTGCGAATATAAATGAGAACTTTAAGAGAACAAAAAGTATCGTAATAATGATCGTAATTTATGCTTGTTAAATTAGAAAGTTAATTCTATATATAAATATATAAATACATATAGAAAATCAATGGGGTTTGTTACAATCGTATCAAAAATCACTTGAAAAAACATTTTATACTAATAAACAATAATAATTTCATAGATTAACTTACCATTCATTCGTTAATCCTCGATCCAATGAATAGAAGAATATTATTCACCTTTTCCTTGATCCTGATATTATATCACTTGTGTTATCAATCAAAATCAAATCATATACTTCTCTTTTTTTTTCTCTCTCTCTCTCTCTCTCTCTCTCTCTCTCTTCTCATTCTTATTACTTCATTCGAATAGAAATAAAACGATTGTAATAAATAAATCAAAAAATTCAGTGTACAATAAATTATCTATCGAAAAAATCATAAAAGATAATCAATAAAAAAATAGAAAGAAAAAGAAGATGAAAAAAATAAAATAAATAAAAAAGTTAAACGTAAATCAAACTGAGAATATTCTTTAATCGAATCGATTTAAAAACGAATAAACCAACCATACGTTAATAAATTATATTCTCAGACGTTTGTAATTTTTTTTTGTTTACCTTGTTAAAACGTAAAAATTGTGAATATTTGAAGAGAAAGAAAAAGAGAAAGAGAGATAAGGAATAAAAAGAGGAGAGAAGAGTTGTGTGTACCGTTCTCCAAGTATACTGTTGGGTTCCCTGTTGTGTTGGTTAACCAATCACGTGGCCTCGAACACGCGGAAATCGATGGTTCGACGTGCATTCGGGACAACGCGTCGTGCCGGACTGCCGAGCTCTCAAGAATCGCTTGACTTTCTTCTTCTTCATGCCGCACAACACACCACACACAACGGATCTCTCCCCTTTGATTATAAACACCCATCTTTTTTTCTCCCTCTTTATTCTCTTTTTTTTTTTTAATAATTCTATTTTTTTATCATCTCAAAATGGTAATCCTAAAAGTAATTTATCTTAAATTTAATTCACCTCGTCTTCTCTCTCTCTCTCTCTTCATATATATGTATATGTATTTATTAATTTATGATAGATTTATGTCTAATGTTCACTTTTGAATAGATTTATTTGTAAATTATTTTATATATTTTGTAGAGAGATATTTCTGAATTTAAATATTTAATATATTTTATCAATTTTTTTGTCGGATTTTGCCAATACACGATACACGTTTATATATATGTATTTGTTTAAATAATTATCAGATTAATTACTCTCTTACATATTATTTGTTAGTAATTCTTCATTCGAACCAACCCTTACCCTTTTTCTTCTATTCTCTTTTAGAAATAACCTTGTCTTTTCTTAGCCCATTCTACGTATTCCTTTACAGTTTGAAGCGTATATAATCGTAATTGGTCATTGATTTTCTATAGAAATTTATATAGTTACGTAAAATAATAATATTAATCTAATATATTTAATATATGATATTTATATTCTATTCGTATTAAGAGTATTTGTATAATTATTGATCGGTTCACAAAAGATTTGCCATACATTTCATGATTCTTTTTCTCTATTGATAAAAATATGAATTATTTATTCTATCGATTGTGAACTATTTTTCTCTCTTCCTCTCCCCCTCCTTCTCTCTCTCTCTCTCTCTCTCTCTTTCTCTCTCTCTCTCTCTCTCTCTCTATTTCTATTTTATTCCATATTTTACTAACATAATTAATAATTTTCCTTTTGAGCTTGCACACCTTCCCCCTTTCCTTATAATTTATCAAGGTACTCCGTTTAGTCCTAAGCTTCATTGATTTTCTATAGAAAATTTCTGTACGATTATTATATTTAAAGGAAAACACTTTTACAGAATTTATTCATAATAATAGTAACAATATCTAACAGAACTCGTACAGATTTTTAATCAATTAATTAACATTGATTAAGATTTGTCAGGTCGCGTGGTACGTATATGGATGAGGATATTATTTATTTAAAAAAAAAAAAAGAAAGAAAAAAACAATTTCCAAATGAAGGATTCCTGCCTAATAAGATACATAACATTTAGGTATGCGTGTAGAAAATGTGGTATTTTCAAGACAGTAGGACGGATTCTCTCGTTCCAGGTTTGCGAGACGTGCGGTTTTGCGAAACACAGGACGGTGGTATGTCGGACACGTCTGACAGGATTACCTGCTAACTATATCGGTGAGAAGTGAATCGATGGAAGTGGAGTAAACTTGTTTACACAACAAAAACGATGAATTGTTTTCTTCTACATTTATTTATTAATAAATTTTGAATAAACGGCTTCAGAAAAATAATTTCGATTTTAATTAGAAGGATGAACGGATTTGAATTTCCGAAAGATGTGGTCTCGTTCGGAAATAGAAAAGATGAATGGATGTATATATACAAGAAAGAAATAAATCCAGAAAGATAGAGAGAGAAAAGATCTATTCGTCGAAGAGAAATAACGGCTGCAAGTTGGAGGCGCCTTTTAACGGTAAATTGGCATCGTGCGTGGATCTGGGTTGGTGGAACGAGAGGCGGTGCCATAACTTGCACGTTTTCTTCCTCGACAATAAAATCTTTTTAAGAATTTACTAACAAACAATTCTAAACGATCGAGATTAATTATTACGAGTTCTATAAAATCAACAAATGAATTTTTTTTCTTTTCTATTTGTTTAAATACAACAATACCTTATCTTTATACGAATGGTACGCGTGTAAAAAAATTTAAAACATAGTAAAAAAAAGGAACGATTAGACGTACAAATACAAAATTCAATATCTTCAAATAAGGTCAGACGGTTTCTTTTGATTTTAATTAAAATTATTCATTGAAGTTGTATTAAAATAAAAAAAAAAAACATATGACGCTGACGATTAAAAAGAGAAAAAAATTATTCCTGTTAAGTGGTGTTGGTAAAGTGGTACAACACGCATGAAACAAACCGGTGGAGATCGTTGTCCTCTTTCGCGTCGATCAAAGGAATTGTGGCTCTCGGCGAATCACCTAACAGAGGCATAGCACTCACCTGCCGCATACTTCTTAGCCGTCGTTCGTAAGTTTCGTTCAGAGTCTGTAAGGTACCTTCATTCGTGTGTTCGTTCGTACGTTCACTCTTCTCTCATTTTCTCTTTACAAAAGACGAAGAAGTCGGAGGAGAAGAAGAGGGGGGGAAAGAAAAGGCAAAAAGATTCGCTTTTTTGATGTTAACGCACTTATATTCAACTTACCTTTCATAAAATATTCATTTTCATTACACTATTATCATTTTAATAGATGTATTTTGAATAAAAAGAATTTTAATTCCATTATGCATGATATGCAATTTTAAGACCAACACAATAGAGATTTAGAAATTAACAGAAAAATATATAACGTAAAAAAAAAAGTTTTCTAATTCAACATAAATTTTATTAAAATTTAATCACTCTAAGTGTAAAAAATATCGA